GTGTGTGTGTGTGTGTGTGTGTGTGAGAGAGAGAGAGAGAGAGAGAGAGAGAGAGAGAGAGAGAGAGAGAGAGAGAGAGAGAGAGGGAGAGAGAGTCCAACTTCTTGGCAAACATTCCATTTTTATTGTGGGCGCAGCCGCAACAGGTTCCCTAGTAAAGTTGATATCTTTTTCAGAGGACCTCGAAATTAGGCCCGCGAGAGTGAAAGGCCTTCCACGGTTCAGACCCCAAGTTCGAGTTTCAAGGTCAGAGGCCTGGGCCAAGAAAGGCCAAGACGGTCAGTTTCAGAAAAGTCACAGTCGGGTACCTTAGCAGTCAAGTCCAACAGGCATTCGGCAAACAGTCACATCCCAGAGGCAAAAATCACGTCTCATAATGAAAAGTCATATTGGAAAGTCACATCTCACGGGCAAAAGTCACTTCCACAGGCAAAAGTCGTGTCCCAGAGGCAGGAGTCACAAGCCACAGTCAAAAGCCATGTGCCATAATCGAAAAGTTGTGACTCACAGGCCCAAGCAGCAGCACACCAATGAAAATTCGGGAAAGGTACGGGGCCCTGAAATTCGAAAGCAAACAGGCCGTGGGGATGTGGTACCGGAACCAAGTCAAGCCCCAAGAGGCAGAGGCTGGCATGAGTTGAAGTTCGGTCCAAGACAATATAAGGACTAGCCAGCGTCCTCATTTGGCAGAATGCTCATTCGCATGGAGTGTGGAAGTGCTGGTGCACTTGTGCGCTATTGTGAGGGGCGAAGCGCTGAGCCAGGGAGCTGCGCGTAGAGGGAGAGAGAGGGAGCAGCCATAGCTGCCCAGCGCTGGCAGAGGGAAGGCAGCCATAGCTGCGCCAGTGCTAGTAGTTAGTAGTAGACATCAGAGGGGTTAGTAGAGTGAGCAGTGTGTGTATTCAGAGTTGGTGCTCGAGTAATAGAAGGTGTGTGAGTGGATACAAGTAGGGAGAGAAGACACAGGGAGGTAGTAGACAGAGAGGAAGAGAGAAGAGCATTGAGAGGGATACTTACCTGAATAAAGACACTGGTTGCTTGGGTTAGCACTGTTGAGTGCTTGAGACTGGAACTCTTAATTACTTATATGATAATTTGTTGGGATTCTAAAGCTGCACTAGCTGGTCTTCATCTCTCTGGCCTCCAGTGTGAACTTCGTGTGATCTCATTCATGCATGGTGTGTGATTGTGTGCGCTCATTGGTGGTGAACGGAGAGGATCATTGCACTTCCATGTGTTCATCCACCTCATCCTTACAATGTATGTCCTCTGTGTCGTCAAGGACAGACTCATTCTTGAGCCGTTTCTTATCTTCTTTTGCCTTCATCTTCACTTCACACTCCGTACTTTTCCCTTACTTTCCCTTTATCATTCTTTGTTTGTCTGCTCTGCATCTCTCCTCACTGTGTTTATCCCCTCCCTCTTCAGTCTGCCTCTTTCTCACAGCGTACAAGTGGGCCGTTATGGTACATGGGGATGGGGGCAGCTCACACTCAACATCATCAACGTGGTGAGCCTTGTATGTGGGAGGCACGGTGAAGGGGGAGTTAAAAGAAGAATGAGGAAAATGAATGGTTTCAGTGTGCCCTTCATGTTTGTCTTGTTTTTTAATTTGTTGTTTCTGTCGTCTGTTTCGCAAAGTGCGCTCTTTTAGTTCATAGTTATGTGACAATATATAGCATCCTGATGAGTCGCTACAGTTTAGGGGGCAGCTCTGCGTGACGATATATATACAGTTCCCCGTGATGACAGATATTGTTGTCCTCTTCTCCCTCTCTAAGTACGGTTTACCGGGCAGCTCTGTGTGACGATATATATGTCGTCATCTAGCATTCAACCTCAGATACACA